AGGTCCCAACTCCATAAGGCTCAACAGGGCAAACCACCAGGCAAGGCAAGAAATTAAAGGAAGCGGGGGGATAAAAAATAAAAGAGCCAACAATGGGAAAATAACATGACAAGGATAAGTCAATTTATATAACCATCAATGTTAATGGCATTAATTCACCAATTGAAAGAAATAAGACTGGCAGAATGCATTAAGAAGCAAAATCCAACAGTATGCTGTATACAAGAAATGCGCTTAGTTCAAAAAGAAATTCATAGTCTGAAAGTAAGAGGAGGGAAAATAGTTTTTCAGGTGGCAGGAGACTGGAAAAAAGCAGGAGTAGCTATCTTATTTGCAGACCGAGTAGATTTCAAACCAAAACTAATTGAAAGAGACAAAGAAGGCCACTACATTCTTGTAAAGGGAACAATCCAGGAGGAGACATGATAATCATATATGCACCAAGTACTAATGCCACCAACTATTCAAAAAAAAATTAATGGACATGAAAAACTAAATAATCACTAATACAATTGTAGTGGGGAACCTCAATATCCCACTGTTACAGATAGACAGATCATCTAGACAAAAATTCAACCACAAAATACTAGAACTGAACTGAGCTTTTAAACAGTGGACTTAACAGACATTTACAGAGTGTTCCACCCCACTAAATCAGAATATACATTCTTTCAGCTGCACACAGGTCATTCTCCAAAATAAACCACAAGCTAGATCATAGAACATGTTTAAGTAAATGCAAAGGAATTGAAGTTATCTCCTGTTTATTATCCAATCATAGTGCAATTAAACTAGAGATTAATAGCATAAGAAACCACAAGAACTCACAAACACATGGAATTGAATAACATACTCCTAAACAACTAATGGGTCACAGAGAAAATTAAAGAATAAATTAGTTTCTACAATTAAATGATAGTGCCAACACAACACAGGAGGAATCCATGGGACACAATGAAAGTAATTGTCAGGGAAATTCATAGCAATGAATGCCTATACTAGGAAAACAAAAAGCTCAAATAACCTAATGCTGAACCTTAAGCTCCTAGAAAAAGAAGAGTAAGATAAACCCAAAGCTCATAAAAGGGAGGAAATTAAAGATCATAGCAGAAGTCAATGCAATGGAGAATGAATGATACAAATAATCAACAAATTGAAGAGTTGGGGTTTTTTTGGTTTTTGTTGTTTTGTTTTTCAGTACTGGGGATTGAATGCAGGTCCTTGCATTTATGGGGCAGGGAGCAGCACCACTGAGCTAAATCCCTGTCCCAAAGAATTATTTTTTTTTTGAAAGAATAAATAAAATTGATATCCCCTTAGCCAACCTTATCATGGAAGGAAAGGAAAAGCTCAAATCATGCAGTTAGGAACAAAAAAGGTGAAGTCACAACAGATCCTGCAGAAATCCAGAGGATCATCAATACCTATTTCAAGCACTTGTACTCTAATAAAATGGAAAACAGAAGAAATGGACAGATTCCTAAATACATATGAATTACCAAAGTTGAACAAAGAAGATATAAAAATTCTAAACACCCAATTACAGTCAGTGAAATTGAAAATGAAATTAAAAATTTACCAACAAAAGCCCAGATTCTGATGCATCTTGCTGATTTCTACAAGACATTTAAAGAAGAGCTATTGCCATTACTCTTTAAACCCTTCAATGAAATTGAAAGGGAAGCAATACTCCCAAATTTTTTCCTGGAAGCAAGTGTTACTTTAATTCTAAAAGCAGAGAAAGACCCAACCAAAAAGAAAACTACAGGCAATCTCCCTAGTGAGCATAGATGCAAAAAATCCTAAATAAGATCCTGGCAAACAGAATACAGAGGGTTATCAAGAAGATCATACACCCTGACCAAGTTGGATTTATCCCAGGGATGCAAGGATGGTTCAACGTAGGTAAATTGATAAATGTAATACACTGTATGAACAGAGCCAAGAACAAGAAGCACATGCTCATCTCAATAGATGCAGAAAAAGCATTCAACAAAACTCAACACCAATTCATGATAAAAACCCTACAGAAAATTGAGATAGATGATCTTTATCTCAATCTGATAAAGGCCATCTATGACAATGCAACAGCCATCACCATACTAAATGGTCAAAACCAGAAAGCCTGATTCATTCTAGAATCAGGAACAAGACAAGGATGTCCACTAATACCACTCCTGTTCAATATAGTTCTGAAAACATTAGCCAAAGCAATTAGACAAGAAAAGAAATAAAAGGAATAAAGACAGGAAAGGAAGAAGTTAAACTGTCACTATTTGTTGATATGATACTCCTCACAGAAGACCCAAAAAACTCTGCCAAGAATTAGCTTTAATTGACAGATTCAATAGAGTAGCTGGATACAAGGTCAACACTAAAAAATCAGTAGCCTTCTTGTACACAAATAAATATACACTCAGAGAGAAATTAGGGAAACAATTCCTTTCACAATAACATCCAAAAAAATGAAATATCTAGGAATCAATCTAATGAAGAAAGCAAAAGATCTCTACATTGAATACTACAGCACTCTGAAAAATAAGAGATTGAAGAGGCTATAAGAAAAGGGAAAGACGTCCCCTGTTCCTGGGTAGGAAGAACCAATATAGTGAAAATGGCCATACTTACAAAACTGCTTTACAGATTCTATGCAATCCTGATTATAATCCCAACTATTTCACAGAACTAGAGAAAACAATCCAAAAATTCATTTGGAACCAGAAGAAGCCTAAAATAGCAAAAGACATGGCAGGGGGTATCACAATTCCCAACTTGAAACTGTACTACAAAGCCACTGATAAAAGCAGCATGGTACTGGCAAAGAAATAAACCCAAATATCAGTGGAATAGATTAGAAGATGCAGAAACAACTCTAGACATACTCAGCTACCTCATCTTTGACAAAGGAGCCAACCATTCTTACTGGAGGAAAGACTCTCTTTAATAAATTGTGTTAGAAAAACTGGGTTTCAACCTGCCAAAGATTAAAACTAGACCCCCGTCTTCCACCATGCACAAAACTAAAATCCAAGTGGATTAAAAATCTAAATATTAAAACACAAACATTGAACTTGCTGAAAGATAAATTAGAACTTTCAAAGACATTGGCATAGGAAAAGACTTTGTGAACAAATCCTCAGTAACACAGGAACTAGCACAAAGAATCAACAACCTGGATCTCATCTTATTAAAAAGCTTCCGTACAGCAAGAGACACCACCAACAGAACTAAGAGACAACCTGCAATGTGGGAAAAAATTTTACCAGCTGTTCCTCAGACAAAGGTCTACTGTCTAGAATATATAAAGAACTGAAAAAAATCAGACACCCCCAAATATAAAGACCCAATTAAAAAACGGGTATCTGAAATGAACAGACATTTCTCAGACAAAGTAAAAGTGGCAAATAAACATGAAATAATGTTCAACATCACTGGTCATTCAAGAGATGCAGATGAAAACAACACTGAGATTCCACCTCACCCCAGAAAGAATGGCTGCTATCATGAAATCAACCAATAACAAATGCTGGTGGGGTTGTGGGGAGAAAGGAACCTTCTCCATTGTTGGTGGGAGTACAGACTGGTTCAACCATTGTGGAAATCAGTATGGAGATACCTCAGAAAAGCTAGGATTAGAAATCCCATTTGACCCAACTATCCCTCTGCTGGGTATTTATTCAAAAGAATTAAAAGAATCATACCACAGAGATATATGCGTACCCATGTTTATATGGCACAGTTTGTAATGGCTAAAACTTGGAAACAGCCCAATTGGCCATCAACTGGAGACTGGATAAAGAAGCTGTGGTTTGTTTTATATATATATATAATGGAGTACTAAGCCACAAAGAATGAGAAACTGGAGACATAGCTAAATGGATACACATTGAGGCCACACTCTTAAGTGAAATAAATAGGACACACATGTAAATACTGAATAGTTTCTCTGGTGTGAGAAACTGAAAGTATAAATAGGTTCAAAATGTATAACTGATGTGAAATAGGAAGAAAAGGTTTAAAGGAGCAGGGGAAGTGTGAGAGGCAGGGGAAAGGAAAGAAGGGAAAAGAAAAAAATGAAAAAAAGTGTGAGAGGCAGGGGAAAGGAAAGAAGGGAAAAGAAAAAAATATGAAAAAAAATGGAAACAAAGTCTTTGTAAATAAGGAGGGGTGAAGAGAGGGCAGGGGGATGGGGAAAAATAAAAACCAAGATATTATGTAAAGTCGATCCCCGGTACCAAAAAAGAAAATCAGTCTAACTCTCTTCCATCTTTTTGTCCTCAGTATCATCTGAGATCGACAGCTCGGCCTGAACTCTACCTTCTCACACTGGATGCTGACCACCTGCATCTAGATGACTTGCGGCTTGGGGGACTATAGGACAGCCATGGCGAACCTGTTAGAGCTTTCAGTGATACAAACAGCCTGCTGTGGCACACGTGCCACAGGTTCACCACCCCTGCTATAGGAGAACCACATTCTCTGAGCCTCTTGTGCCAAGTGTCTGTCAACGTATTTCTGTTGGTTGAAAGGTGAGTTTTGTTCTTTTTAATAAAAGAAAAAAGTTTTCTCATGGTACCACAGTTCGGAGCTGACCACTGTTAAGTGTAGGTCAGACACCCACCTCCTCACAGTGGTAATACAATAGTCAAAGTTCAGTGATTGCCCTGTGATGGCTACACACTCCTATGGATTTAAGTCTTCATTTCTGAGTTTAAAAACTATGTATGGAATCGCTTCTCAGCCTTTTGGCTAAGATCAAGTATAAAAAATTATATGTGTAGATATATAAACCTGAACATACAGGTTTAGGTAGAATTTTAAGATTATATAAAAATGATAGATCTTTTATAGTTTTAAAAAGTAAATTAGACATTGGTTTTATCTGTATCACAATTAAGAAATGGCACTGCACCAGCCTGGCAACCACAAGGTCCTGTGTTCTACTGCCACTACCGGGAAAAAAAAAGTAAGAAAGGAAAAGGAATAATGCTTTATTTCATAATGTACTGGTCAAGTCAATTCTTTTAAAATCATATTTTACAGGGCCAGGGATTTAGCTCAGTGGTTCTACCGCCTGCCTCACAAGCATAACGACCTGAGTTTGATGCCTGGTACCAGAAAACAAAATAAAATCATATTTTACAATCCCAGTAAAATTCCACTTTAATTACAGTTGACCAGATTGTATCCTGGGTACCTACTGATATTATATAATTTATAAAGAAAATATTTCATTTATTTGTTGATCATATTTCACCCTGATTAACAGCCTGCTCCGTAGTTATTATTGACTTCATTGTCACCTTTCTTTTTTCTTTTTTTGTGCTGGGGATTGAACTCAGGACCTTTCACTTATGAGGCAGTTGGTGGCACCACTGAGCTAAATCCGCAGTCCCATTATCACTTTTTTAAAAATTTTTCTCGTTATCAGAGATATGATAATATTCTCTAGTCAGCCAGATATGTAGTAACAAGGTTAAGAAACCATACTTTAACCAGTAATTGGTCTTTCTGTGCTACTGTAACTCCGCCCATTCTGGCATTCAAATTTTAGGTAGAAAGTGTAGAAACTAATCACATTTCACTGTGCTAAGTCCTGATACGAGGTTATAGAAGCATCAATCTTTGCATAGTTCCACCATGTCTTTCTATGGAGTTTTCCCATTCCCACTCTGAATACCATTTCTAAATCCTAAGTCTATTTCTAGGAGCACCTAATATTTATCTTGTTGCATCACCCAGGGAACGCTATCTTTTCACTTTAAGGTATTTCTACCAAGTGCAGTAATATGAGATTAGTATTAGACCAACGTTTGAAGGATCAGCCACATACCATAAACTTCCTGCCTAAATGTGGGTTGTAGGTTGTTTCTTTAACCCCTTCCAAATTTGGAATTTTTTTCCTTAAATTTTGTAATAAAAAGTTCCTATTTAAGAGTTAAGTCTGTGCCGTGAGGATGGCTCAATGCAGAGTACTTGTTAGCACATACAAGGCCCAATTCGTATCACCACCTCCTTCCAGAAAAAGAGAAAAGTCTTATCATAATTATCTGACTGAAAAATCAAAAGATTGCAATCCTGGAAGTGAACAGCAGCTCTCCATTTTAAAAGCCATTAATACAACCAGGCACGATGGTGCACATCTGAATTCCAGCTTTCTAGGAGGCCAAGGGAGGAGGATCACAAGTTCAAGCTCAGCCTGAGCAATTTAGTGATTCAGTGAAACCTGTTTTAAACTTTTTTTTTTTTTTGTACAGAGGATCAAACTCGAGACCTTGCACTTACAAGGCAGGAGGTGGAGCCACTGAGCTAAATCCCCAGCCCCGTTTTAAACATTTTTAAAGAGCTGGGAATGTAGTTCAGTGTTGAAGGCATTCAACCTATAGTACACACGCAGCCATATACTCTAGGGTGCTGCATGAGACCCTTATGAATTTGATCAGTTCCTGAGGGCTGGTTATAGCTTAAATTGGTTGTAAGTCAATACAGCTGAGACCTGGATGTTTATGTGAGTACTCACTATAGATAACAAGAAGCACCTGCCTCGCAAGCTCAAGGACCCGAGTTCAATCCCCGGTACCACAAAAAAAAACAAGAAGCAGGTGACTCTTCCATTAACCTAATTAACCCGAATTGTTTGTATGTCAGGCTGGTTGTAACTTGAGGGTGCACTGTACCATCGAGTATCATGATGTCCACTAACCCATCATATCACTCCTCATTTCCTTTTAGCTCCCAAGGTATTGAGTCTACGAACCCTGAAGCCTTTGTGCGACTTTGAACAATATTTTCCTTTTTCAGTATTAAAAGTAAATGTTTGACCTTTCTGACTTATTTTAAAATTTAATAGCTTTTATTAAGAACTTTTCCTAAAATGCAGACATTGCTTAGCTTTATTTATGGTGGCTTGGTCCTCAGAGTGACAGGGAGTTTTCTGAAACCACACTAAAATTCCCTCATTTCCACTTCAGGGTCCTCAGCCTTTAGGTAAGGACAGCACACCTGCAAACTAGGTTAGAGTTCTTTTGATCTTAAAACAGAAACCAAACTAATATCACTTATGTTTTCCTTTCCCTAAAGCTTCAATGTTTGAGTTTTTTATATATAGGAAATCGGGGCAAACCTATTTATTAGATTTTCTCTTCTTCCTCTTCAGTTGCATTTGTCATCAGTTTTAATACCGGAGAATGTTGGAGTAAGAAATAGGAATATCCTGTTTGACAACTTATAAAAGGTGAGGTGTTTGGTTAAACTCAGGTCAAGCACTCTGGAGAGTTCTGTAGCTCTTCTTCATTCTTCACATGTTACTAGGAACAGAGCCGAGTTTACAAAAGTTTACAAGTTTTACCCTGAGAACATGCTACTCCTCTCACCAGGAAATAAGATTTAAAAAAAGTAAACTGAACCATGTTAAAACCAGTAGAGGAAACTGATGTCCAAAGAGTGAGTCTTGTATGAGCTTTTTTTGGACAAAATTAACAACATTTAATCATTCTCTAACCTATGATATACAGATTTGGATTTCGGTATGAAGTATGCTTCAGTACTGTATATTAGCTTGTTTTCTCTTACTACAACAAAGCACACAAAGCTGGGTAATTAATTTTTAAAATGCAGGTTTATTTCAGTCACATTTCTGGAGGTTCAAGGACCTGGTGCCAACACTGGCTTCAGTTTCACAAGGGGCCTCTTAGCTGAGTCACATGGTGCATACATCATGGTGGGAGCATGTGGGAGTCGGAGCAATTCAGAGATCAAGCTCTCTTTTATAACAACACGCTCTCATGAGAGCTAACTCAGGTTCCTCAAGAGCGTCCTTAATCACTTCCAAGGGCAGTGCAACCAGTGACTTGGCCAACACCCACCAGCCTCTCCTCCCCGTATGTGTGTGTATGGGGTGCTAGGGATTGAACACAGGGCCTTTGTACTGATCTATATCCCCAGCCCTGTTTAATTTTATATTTGAGACAGCGTCTTGCTAAATTGCTAAGTTGCCAAGCCTGGGCTCAAATTTGTGATCCTCCTGCCTCAGCCTCTCAAAGTACTGGGATTACAGGTGTGTTCCACCACCATGCTCAGTGGCTCTCCATGTTAAAAACCCAATCCTCTCTGTACATCATTACACTGGTGACCAAGCTTCCAACACTGAACCTTTTGGGAACATTCAAACCCTAGCATGCAGATTTAAAATTTTTATTTTATCTTATTTTATTACAGTTTTGGAGTTGAACCCAGTGCTTTGGCTTGCTAGACAAGTATTCTACCCTGACCTATATCCCAGCTTTTTTTATTTATTGAGAAAAGGTCTCACCAAGTTACCCAAGAGGGCCTCAAACTTACAATCCTCCTGCCTCAGCCTCCTCAGTAGTTGGAATTACAGGTCTGTACAACTACATCTGGCAGCATGTAGATATTAAAACAGTCAATCTAAAGAGTAACCTAGGTGTATTTATTTAATTCCTGGGATTCAACACTGTGGAGTCAATTTATAAAGGAAAAGTGTGTTCCAACCATGTATACCCAGAATTTCAGGAGAAGTACAGTTAAATGAGTGTTACTGAACAGCTGCTGCTATGTAACTTTATGTCTTCCTGATATAAAAGACAAGCACAGTGTATCCAAACTTTATTAAATAGTTTAATTTACAAATATGACATTAGAGATCAGAGTAGCCAATGAAGGTAGCCTTTTATATTACATTAAGCCATGAAACCTTTGCCTACAAAGTATTTTGCAAATTTAGGTGTTAGAAAGTATCTCTCTCACATTTTACTCAAGCTAAAAGGGATAAGAGAACATACTGCATACTTCCTAACTTTTCTTTAAATGTGATTTTTATAACCTGATTTAAACATAGTTTACGGATTTGCATGCATAGCTGCTCAATAAACAGATTGTGTTGCTTTTTTCAAGCAACAAATATATTACTTTCAGTCTCTCAGTAAGATCACTAAATTGGGGACCCTACTTACTGGGTTTTGTAAGAAAGCCAGCTTCTAATAAAGCATCGTTAATCTGTTTTTTTGTGTTTTTGTGGTTGTTGTTGTTGCTGTTGTTGCTGTTTTTGAGACAAGGTCTCACTATGTAGTTGAGTCTGACCTGGAACTCACTTTGTAGCCCAGGTTTGTCTCAACTCACAGTGATCCTCCTGCCTCAGCCTCCGAGTGCTGGGATTACAGGTGTGCACCACCACACCCAGCAGTTAATCTGTTTTTAATGACTGTGTAGTGAGAAAGTAGATTCTTTCCAGTGGCCTGGCTAGAAATATCTTCTCACTTCACAAGCAACATGAAAAGATGTCTTACTTCTATGCCAGCTCAATTTTCCTGACCTTCATGGAGTGTATGATAGCTGGCTGCCTGCACATTTACTCTAGTGGGATAGAGTGGTTAGAGTCTTTCCTTGCCCGTTTTCCAAAGAGGGCAGCCTTGACCAAAATAAGTATACTCTGGTAGCACTAAAGGAGCCTCATGACAGGTACAGATGATAATTTAAAAATTTGAATTTCCCGGGCCAGGGATTTAGCTCAGTGGTGCCACTGCCTGCCTCTCAAGCGCAAGGACCTGAGTTTGATCCCCAGTACCAAAATAATAATAATAATAAAATAAATGTATACTTTGGTTTCTTATAGCATATCTGGAATGAATCTCAGAGAATTGTTAGCAGTTTGTATATGTATTCCTAGAAATTGTTCCCAGAAGTTTAAAAATGAATTCAGAAGTATTTAAGTGCTAAACTCTTATGTTTGTGGCAAAATAGTTCAGACGCTATTAAATAAAGTACTGAGTGGTGAACCAACTTTAAATAACATGACCATTCTCTTCCATTGTATTTGATACTCTTTCTGAAAAGGCATTTAAGCAATCTTAATTACTCTTCCCTATTTGCAGAGAATTAAAATGATGACAGTGTCACATTTAACATGGATATAGAAAAGTTTCCTGTAACCATTATATAATGAACTAATTTTCAGG